CAAGATGCAAAGGATATTTGATAAAAGTTTTTCCTTATTTATACATCTATTTTATTAGTTGACATGAACCGTTCTAGAAAAAGAAATCTGCCTCAATTTAGAAACAGACATTTTCTATTGTCTGAATGTTTTTCTTAACATTTATGTCGCTGGTAGCTATAACTAATGGATGTTGATTCAATAGAATTGCGTGAGAATTGACTGAAACAACAAAAGACTTGTTGTTACATTTGCGTGATCTTGATCATATTGTTATACATCTATGAATACTCATATTTTATTAGAATGCCAAAATCAGAAGAGCTTTTAAGTTATTAAATGTTCAAATAATATTTCGTTTTCCTTTCAATTGATGTTGATTCTTTAATCTTGCTCGTCTGTTTCGTATATACAAAATGTCCTTTTTTCTAATTAACGGATTAAGCTTTCTCTTTAGAAGCAAAAATATCTATTCTTTCTGCTTCTGATGATCTTTGCCTAAAGTAAAGGCACTTAATAATAGTAAACAAATATGTGTACATAAGCATGGTAAATTAACAGAAAATATCAATAGAGAAAAAGAGTGTAAATAAAAGAAAGATTGATAAAGATGATGAATTTTTACTAAAGATTTTCAATATACTCTTGAAAACTTTATGATGCTTTTAAATATATGAATAGTCAAGTACAATCGGATGACGTTTAGTACTTTGCTAAAAGTTGTTTTTCTTGCTAAATAAGATTAATATAATTTGATTCAATCAAAATAAAAACATGTCTTATACCCAGACATATCATTTCTAATGGAAGTTACAATTGATTTTGTCGGCAAAATTTACATTTTGTTTTTATTTGCGAATCAATAATATTGAAAGGTTCATTGTAGTATATTTTGAACTTCTTTTAGATGGTATTTAATAAACGTTATTTTCAATCTAACAGAGTTATTTAAATAACAATATCAAACAAGTCTAGTTCAGTAATTTTGAAAGTACAAAGAAAAAGACCATCTTAGCTACGATCATTTCTACTTAACTTGAATGTTAATAGTACCGAATAAATATTTCATTAGACACCCACACGATAAAAAATATTGTATAAAAATAACTCTCAATGATTCTATTTTGACTTTCGTCACAATTGATTTGAGAATGCCTTTCATATCCGTTCCTGACAATTTGTTTGATTCTTCAAATAAAATTGCTTTCCGTTCATTACGTATGCTATCAAATTTTTTTTTTTTAATAAGTACTGTTCGAGAAAAGAATGAATAAAAAGATGAAGGTTGTTTAGTACACAATATTAATGCGCTACCTCTCTTTTCCAAAAGTATACCAATTGAAAAACATTTCACAACTTCACATCTGATCTTTCAGAAGATTTGTCCTCAAAATCCTAAAAACTTCAAAAACTTTAGAGAATATTTTCTAAGAAATTCAAGATTGCTTTGATATTGAAGATCAAATATAAAATTTATTTCTCTCATTCGAAAGAGAATGCCTTTATCTATCGAATAAAAAAGACAATACAGTTCACTAGAACAAACATGATCAAAAAAACCATTATGTTCAGAGTTCGACAATTTACACAAAAACCAATTTCAAGAAAAACATACGAACTTGTTTTTGTATATTTACATGAAGAGCTTTCTAACATGAACACCATATATGATTATCTCAAGTTATATGAAAAGGTCGCAAACGACCTAAAAACGGTTTCCGTTTCAATGATCGTTTACGTTCCAGCGGAAACAATCATATTCCGATCATTGGTTTTACCCCGTTTTACATGGAATCGGTAAAGTATCTCATAAACATTATTGCATATTTTATAATAATGTTTAGTGGGTAAATCTGAATAATCTTATGTACTATTTCTAATTGTATCGGTTTCTAATATTGCATGGAAGTGCTGTGTTGAGATAGAACTGTGATATACTCTTTCTTTTTGTTGATCCCAGACCCTAGTAAACTTTTTTGAGTTAGTTAAAACATTGATGAATAGATTTTGTTCAGATCTATTCGACGATATGGCGTGCGCTCTATAAGAACGTTTCTATATTTTGCCACATCATGATGATTGACATAATAGTAATATTGAATTATTGAGTATATATATACACATCTTCGCATATTCTGCGTTCAGTATTCTTTACATAGGTAAGTTCCATAGATAATAGAATCAATTCTTTTGTATTCTAGAGGTCTAGTAGAAAGTGGTTCCAAGTTCCAGTACTGTTGCTCACCATATATCAAAATAATAGTTGGTAACTGTTTAAAAATGGCGACAAACGAACGTAATGAGTTACTTGTTAAAAGAAAGATCCTTGAAATTATAGTTTTTTCTTAGTAGTACACTACTTTATGTAAAGCAATTTTTGATGGTATTTTCACGCATAAAAGGCATGATTATTGAGTCTGTGTGCGTCTCGTTTTTATACATCTATTTTTGATGTAACTTGTGATGATAAATCTGTTATGCAGGAATGGTATTTATGTAATCAAATGGTTCGTATAATAATAGAAAGTATAAGCAGGATACTAGTTAGGGCTCAACTCGAGTAATGAAAATACGGTTCTATTACTGTGCATTCGTTTTCGACTGAAGCGATCCTAAACACTACTGTTTACAGTGTAATGAATAAGGACGGTTATTTTTTTATCGTTTAGTACATTAATCACACCGTTTCAGGTAGTTTAAAAGATGAGAAGTTTTTTCAGGATTTTCGGGAAAATTCACTCAAATAGCAACATAGAAAATGTCGGAGATATAGGATGTATGTGCGGTCGTGTATTTGAACAATATTTTCAATATCACTTGGGATGGTACTTCATTGAGTTTCCAGAGATATCCATAGAAGATATCATATGGTTTCAAGTGACGTTTCAACCTGTCAATATGATCGACCTAGGATATTACTAACGCATTTAAAGTTCTCTAGATTCTTATCAAGTATTCTTCTGGGTATACATGGGGTATGATAATAGACGATATTTGTCATGACGATTATAATTTTGCTATGAACTTTGATAGCAGTGTTTACCCTGGAGTGTTTCAGAAACCCGTCATAAGTTTTAAAGAAATCTTTCCCAATCGGAAATCATTTTTATGAATTTTCAAAACTACGTATCTTAGAAATTATGCCTATATATTTATCATACACAACTGTCGTTTTTAGAAAAATCAATTGTTTTTTTGGTGGAGGAGGAGATTTTCACATGAAATTCTATTCATTTTTTAACTAAATAGACTTTGTTTCATATGATTGGTATACCTTTGTGACTGTTGCTTGCTCGTAATGCTGTCGTTTTTTTTTAAAACATATATGTTGATAGGAACGACCTCTCTCGAAAAATTTTGGATTCGAGTAGAATTTTGATCGACAACAATTTACCAAATACACCTTTATGGATCTTTTATATTTTTCATTATTAGTTTCATTATTTTTTTGCTCCCAAAGTGAGTGATTTGAGAATCAATGATGATAATTGGGTAAGACATTTCTTTTAGCTATTCTTTACGAACATCTAAATTAATTGAGAATGATTTTTTGATTGTTTATAATAGTTACAAATGTATTTCATAAGAATTTGATGAACAGAGAAGAATACATTGAATCAGATTTTTTCCTTTTAAGTATATTCACTATCATCGTTTTTTTTTTTATTAAAAAAAAAGAAACTCACTATCAGATAAGATATGATAAAAATTCTAGTAAAAAAGAAACAAACTACACGTCATTGACTTAAAAAATTCAAAAGAAAAGAAAAAGTTTTTTAATCTTTTTCTTTTCTTGATTAAAATTTAATAATATTTGATCAAATTGCTTTATGAAGAATTGAAGAAATTACTTTTTTATCGTGTTCATTTAGTGTTAAATGTTTTAGAAATGTATTTTCATTTGTAATCAAGTTAGATTTTTGCGTTCCATTCCAATCATTAATCCAAACATTATGAAATATAGACATAACACGATCAGTTTCATTCGATTTATTTGTTAATTGTGAACAAAATGTTTGCCATCGTTGATTAGGTTCAATAGGTAATTGTAATTGGTCAAGTTTTTTATAACAATTTACCAAACCATAATCATTTGATTTCGTATAATTTTCTTTATGATTTTTTGTTAATGAATTTTTTAAACGTGTTTCAAATAATTGCCAATGTCTATCATCAACCCGTTGTCGAATTGTTTCGCCTAATTGAGTTTTTACTGATAAATGTTGAGAATTCAAACATGGACTTGAAGTTGACATTGTTTAACTAAAAGAAACAAGTTTTTGACTATCCAAGATTTTTCATCGTTAAGATTAAAAGATTTATTTCTTTTATTTTTTTTTTATGACCTTGAGTACAAGAAAATAAAAAGGGCTGATAAACATGCATTTTTTTGTCTTTGGTAAAGATATTCGAAACCAGACAACTTACTTGATACAGACAGATAATGATTCTGTATATTTTCTTGGTTCTTCTGTGTCTCATCCTGTTCTTTTTTTTTGTAAATATTTTTCGTTTTAAAATATTCATTCAAATAGGATTGACGAAAGAGAAAAAGAGAGAAAGAGAAAAGACGCATGCCTTATTATGATAAACATCAGTAAGATAATTGTAACATATAAAAATATGTATATATTAGAAGATAAAGAAAATATAGTACATCACATGCTCATTTTTATTGTATAAAACAAATGAAATGAATAATTTTAACTAACCTTGCGTACATCGGCTTGATGATAGTGGTTAGTATCGTTACCTTTGAAACTATCACGAGTGGCACACCTCTACTCTTTTTTTTCTCGTGTCCCTTTTGTATACGATTGACTCAAGCAAGAAGAAAAAGCAATCAAAATTATAAAACCAAAAAGCGAAAAAAAAAGAAGAAAGAAACACAGAACGAAAGAAATTGATGTTAAAAAAACCATGTTGTTTCTTTGCTATCTGCTCGATCAAGCATAGAATACTTACGAAAATTTGATAAAAAAATCATAAAACAAAATGGCTGATAAAACATTATTTTCTAGATGGCTGATATACGTAGAATTTTCTTCTTCATTGTTTATTGTTCATTAGTCTATGGAGAATGTAAATTTTATAAAGACGAACATACTAGAGACATTTATGAGAAAATGCAAAAATGGGAAATCTTTGGAAAAAAGTAAATATTATCCTTATCTGTTATTATTTATTATTCAATTTTCTTTATTTAGTTTCACAGTGTCGAACAAAGGATTAACATATTTTATTGGAATATGTTCATCGCCTAATAATTCAGCTGATGACACAGCTATTATTCAAAAAGAAAATAGTTCTTCACATGTTCTCGGAAAATTAGATCAAGTCAATCTTGTTCGAGGAGGTTCATCTAAATTTTTCTCAATTAGTATATAAGCTTAAAACAAATAATACAATTTTATTTTAGATGATTGGATACTTTTAACTTATAAAGATGGTGATCCATACGAAGATGCTTGTAATAATTCAATGCGTTCAGCTTCAATTATGTTCGTTTGTGGACAAAATAAGGTTAGAAAAACACCAACAACAAATAAACGAAAGAAAACTTCGTCACAGAAATCTAAATTCCATTTTTTTTTCATTGTTGAATTTAGAGAAAAGAAAAAAAAACATATTTTGTATAAAAGGTAACGGATGAGCTGAAGTTCTTTCAAACAAAATGTTTCTGTACTTTTGATTATCATTGAAAATGTTTCCGAGGAGTAAAAAACTATGAGTGATGACTATAACTTTGTGCTTGTTTCGAATATAGACTTAGAAATGTTCTTCAGACAAATGAAATGATCTTTTGAAAAGTCAAGAAAATTAGTTTGAACAGAATATTTTTCCGTACGCTTTTGCACTTTCGTTGTTGAAATTCTAATGTAAATGTTGGAAGGCGAAAATTTCTGCCTGATCTTGAATTGACCTCATTAACCCTATAAGAAGCCTTGTTTTTTTTTAATTAGTTGGTATATCCCGTAGTACTAAGCAGTATAAATCTAGACCACACTATATTTATAGTGCTCTGCTTAAAACAACGAAACATAGTAATTCATTAAAGAAATAAGGCTTTTAATAGAACTCAAGGAGGTCAATTTAAGTTCAGGCCTAAATTTCTGCAAACCTAAATCTCGACATCTTTACTATTATGTCAGTGTATAGAGCGAAAGATACCCTACAAAATTTACTATTGGAATTGTTTTTTGTTTTTCTACAGGTCGTTTTACTTTTCGTTTCTTTTAAATCGACTTTTTGACCGAACAGAATGTCTATAGTTTTACTTAGATAAAAGCAACAACTGAGTTCAAATCTACATTCTGTAAAGAATTATCTGCTTGACAACACCACCGGTTCGAATATTATTTGATATCTTCGAAGAATAACTTATAGGGGTTAGCAAAAGTCTATTGGTTTATCATGCGATATAATTTTTTGAGCCTTTAAAAAGATTCTCTCACTAGTCTGGAACAAAAATTGAGATAAAATTTCTAACGAGAGAATGTTTCTTGATGTTAAATCGCTTTTGTGTCAGGGCTATGTGCATCACATAGATTCTATTGACGAATTATGAACACAATGAGAATATTTCGGGCTTATAACATATAATGACTGAGAAACTGAATCTTTACCGTATTTTGTAGTAGAACGCCATGGTTCCCTCAGAAACACTAGAAAAAAACTGATTTTCTAATTTCGACTTGAAACTATGCATAGAGACATACTTTGATGAAAATAATTTATTGTAAAAGTTGCAGATATTTTGATTGCTTCTATCCTAAGATACGACTATGTTAGAAGCATATTTTCACGCCGCTCTCATACAACGGTAAATTTCGATATTTATATTTCAGAATAATTACTATTGAAAAATCTGAAATTTAGACAATAAACGAATCTCGTTAAGGCCACCCCCCCCCTCAAAAAAAGTCAATTTTCGTGAGAACTGTCAAAATTGAGATAAATACATAGGAAAATAGCCCGTCGTCTGCTCTTTCAAAATCAATAAAAATTTTTCCTAAAACCTCCATTTTTTCCCGAAATATTCCAGAATTTCAGAGAACCAGTTTTTGAAAAACCAGCGGTTTTTTGAAATATCCAGAAATGTTTTTCGTTTTTTCTCGATTTATGATTTTTGGATTTTGGTACAAGGATTTCTTAGTCCGGGTCCGTCCAACATATTTAAATTTTTTTTTTGTTTGAAAGAGCGCGTCGAGATGCAGGTCACTACAGAGTCCTTTTTTTAATTAAGCTTTGTTTTTTATTATATATAAAGACACTTATGTGACTGGACACCCATTTTTGGGGCGTTTTTTGAGTCATTGGACTTGTGATCTCCTTTCTCCGCTAAAAAATTAAGAATCTCAAAAAAAGGACTCTGTAGTGCTCTGCATCCTGATATGCTCTTTCTAACAAAAAAAAAATTTAAATAGGTTAGACGGGTCCGGGCTGAGAAATCCTTGTACCAAAATGACCTATTTTTGACCCTTGTTTGGTGAATATCTCAGTCAAACATCAGGGTATCGAGCTGAAAATTTTATCACAGCCTCCTCACATCAGCCCCAACATATGCTCCAAATTTCAGCCCATTTGAACATACCTGGGCTGAGATCGATTTTTGAGGGGGGGGGTGGCCTTAAGGTCTGTCTATATGCAAAATGTTTCAAGTCAAAATTCGAAACCACAGCATTCTACTAAAAATGACACTTACAAGCGTCACTTCGTTAAGCCAATATTCGGAAAATGCGTAATATACTTGTCCTAAAGGTATTTTATTCAGAGAACGAATGTGTCTGATTTAATGATAAAATCTATAACGGTTTTTAAAAATTCTGATATAAATCAAAGTGTTGGTTATGTTAATTTAAAAGAAGAACTTCGTAAAGTTTGAATCTTTCTAAATTTTGAAATTTATTTTAAATAAATTGTCTGTATTTTTCTTGCATTATTTGTTTCTCTAGGCTAATCTCACCATACTTCAAGAGCATACAAGTACTGATCATCATTGTAATTATATGTTTCAATTACGAGTTCCAGAAATGTGTCCACCTGTAGAAAAAAATAACAAATTAAGTGGTAGTGCCATCTTTCTTATTATGTAAATGAATGCGTTTAGTTTTTAACAAAGATTTCTTGTAATGAGTTACATGCTTTTTTTTGTTTGTTTAGTTTTTTCAGTGTAACAGCTGCCTATTTATTTGTTGGAGCTGTTTTTATGCATGTAAAACATGGTGCTCGTGGTATTGATCATATTCCAAACTTAGAAATGTGGCGTAAATTGGGTAATTTAGCTGCTGATGGATGTGAATTTTGTTGTCGTTGTGAAAGAACATCACCGCGTGCTGGATATTTTCTTGATGAATCGGGACCAGATATGCGTGATGATGACATTCTTGCACCATAATAATAATCTCAAAAAGCAAACTGTTAAAGAATCTCTTATTGTGAACTTAATAACTGTTCAAAAACAAGACACTCATGATCTGTTCTTATTACTTTTACTTGAATTTTTTTGTCTTTCATAAATATTTTATTGTATTATTATTATATTTTTTTTGTGTTTCATTCTTATGGTTTTACTCATGCATATATACGCCATGAATTTCATCACAAAATAGATCAAACAATTTGACAAAATTATTTAAATATATTTTTAAATTTTAGTTATGGAAGACGATCAAACATTAAAAGCTATTTGTTATCAACGTGGTTCATTATCAATTTTGGATCAATTAAAATTACCTGATGAATCAATCTATATTCCTATTCATTCAGTTGATGATGCATGGAAAGCTATTCATACAATGTCAATTCGAGGTATAAACTAAACAAATAAAGGACAAGAAGTTTAAAAATGTACTTTGTCTTGATGTAACTCGAAATCCACTGATATTTTATAGAGATGTTCCACTCATGTCTAATTTTCACTATCTACTCCATCAACGACAAAATACTTGAGGATCGTAGTTTTGATATTAAATAGAGAATAGATATGTAACCGGTCAATATACTAAAACTTTATTTTATGGTAGACTACTCATGTAAATGACTAATGTATATCATGATGATATATTGACTTACATGTTGTCAATTTGTTTATTATGATCTCTTTGCGTTTTAATCTAAAAAAAAACATACGATTTCGCAACTCATTTCTGAGATTGATTGTTTTTAAATAAGTACGTTTGATCTTGATAGAATACGTATTGTTCTAAGAATATGAGTTTTTTTCTGGTTCAATGATCAGCCTATTTCTCTATACAATGACTGTTTAGTCTACAACTGATGACAGATCAAAGATGGAACTGGTCTGGTGTGTTGACAATTGGTATTGGATCCATTTCTTATATATATGTTATGGTTCTAGTGAATGTAAGCGATAATTCGAGATTTGCGAGTTCCTCCTTCTACATTAACTTAGGTTCAAGCATGACAGTATGAGTATAAATTAATAATTTTAAGACCACTGATAAAGGTTCTCGCAATAGGTTGTAGAAACTGATGTCAATCGTTGATGGGTACACTTTCATAGCGAAGAAGACAACAGAAATCAGGCTCCTTTTCTATACCTTTTCAGTAACGCTACAAGAACGCTGAATGGTATTAACAAGAAGGTTCAGGTAGCTCAAGAATATTTCAAAGCCTTCTTTGGAATGTAAATGACTCGAATATATTTTCGAGTGTTCTAAGTAGCTCAGTTTCTGATTTTTGTACAGATAGTCAATAGTTATATGATAGATATCAAAGATGATGATTTCGGGATTATTTAATATAAGTGTTCCTGAGGCCATACCGATATATATATGTGTACATTGAGGGCTGTTTTAGATATAATAGATATATACAACAAGCTTATTTGTCGGTCATATCAATGGTTAGAACAATAAGCAACCAAAGACTATAGTGCCAGTAAAAGAAAATTTCTATCGGAACTATCAAATAAGACAGACTGTTTCTTGAGCAATCGATTAACCTTGGACAGCAACTATAATCTGCTAGAGACTTTTTGCTTTAGGTATTTCTTATTGGTATAAAGAGACTGAAAAAACGACATGTGACTTCTACATTTTAGCATTCAAGGAACTGCGCTGACAAGTTTTTATTTATATTATAAGCATCTATTCTTGTACCACCCATACATGTCTACGTAAATGTGTTCTAACAATTAATTCTTTATTTAATGTTAAGAATAAAATTTGCGCAAATCATTTTTAGTTGATAAAATCTTAATCACAATATAAGGATACAATTAAAATAAAGAGAAATGAGGCTTCGAGAGAGAAAAGTTGATTAATATGAAACATCTTGGTTTTTTTATTTAGTTTTGTAATCCCAAAAATGTAACAGAAACAAAATTCTTCCGTATCTCATATTTCTTTTTCTGAATAATGATAAATAAGATAAATATTTCTTTCGAGGCGCTCCTGCAATTGCTGTATGCGGTGTATTGAGTCTTGCTGTTGAACTAAATCATTCTCGATCGAAATTCGATTCAATTTCATCAGTTCAACAATTTGTTACTGACCAACTTAATTATTTATTAACTGCTCGACCAACTGCAGTCAATATGGCAGATGCTGCTGAAACGATAATTGATTATTTAATTCCATTGAGTAATAAACAAGAAAATTTATCAGCATACATTGATGAATTACTTGATTTTATGGAGCAATTTCTCAAACGTGATCTTGCTGATAATCGATCAATTGGTCGTTATGGTGCCGAAGCTATTCGTCAAAATAACGCTAATAAAAAAAAATTAAACATTTTAACTCATTGTAATACTGGTTCATTAGCAACGGTTGGTTTTGGTACAGCTCTTGGTGTTATTCGACAATTAGCAGCAAACGGTGCTCTTCAATTAGTATACTTTACAGAAACTCGACCATATAATCAAGGTTCAAGATTAACTGCTTATGAATTATTACATGATCGTATTCCACACACAATGATTTGTGACTCAATGGCTGGTCTATTAATGCAAAAACAACCTATTGATGCTGTTGTTGTTGGTGCAGATCGAATAACAGCAAATGGTGATACAGCTAATAAAATTGGCACTTATCAGTTAGCTGTACTTGCTAAATATCATCATATTCCATTTTATATTGCTGCACCAACAACATCAATCGATTTAACTAAAACAACAGGAGATGAAATTATTATTGAGCAACGTCCATCAAGAGAAATGACAACTGTCAAAGGGATAAATATTGCTGCAGAAGGTAAAATATCGATAAATAAATTTTGATCTCTGTTTTTTTTTGTATTCTAGGTGTTCAAGTATGGAATCCAGCATTTGATGTAACACCTGCTCATTTGATAACGGGTATAATTACAGAGCATGGTGTGTTTAAACCTGATGAACTGAAAGAGAAATTATTATCTCTAAAAAAATCGTAGTAAAATTCTTCAAAATAATCAGTCGTTTGTTTTGTTTTTATTTCGTATAGAATCATTATTTTGTTTCTCTTAGTAAAAACAAAAATAAATTGATGATTATGAATATTTTTAGATCTAGTTAAATAAAACAGGACTATGACAAATTTAATTCAAGAAGGTTCAAAAGTTATACTTTATTTGGGATATAATAATTTACATGTTATTAAAGTAAAAGCAAATGACGTATATCAAACAAAATTTGGTGCTTTAAAACATAACGATTTAATTGGAAAAGAATTTGGAAGCAAAATTATATGTACAAAAGGTTATGTTCATGCGTTATCAGTCATACCAGGTAAATGAAATTAATTAAAATCAATAGAATATTTCATATTATTAACATAGAATTATGGACATTGGCATTACCACATCGTACACAAATTCTTTATATGGCTGATATTAGTTTAATTCTACTTGAATTAGATATTAAACCAGGTTCGATTGTTATCGAAGCAGGTTAGATTTTATTTGAAAAAGAAGAAAAAAAGATTTTCTTGATAATTAGGAACTGGTAGTGGATCTCTGTCTCATTCAATTATACGTTCTTTACGTCCAAATGGTCATTTATATACATTTGAATTTCATGAACTTCGTTCAAATTTAGCTCGAAATGAATTTGAGGTAAACAGATTCGGGTAAGCCGAATTTTATTTTCTATTGACTTCGATAATTTTTTATTTTATTTTTTAGGAACATGGTCTTTCACAATTGGTTACAGTTCAACATCGTGATGTACTTTCAAATGGTTTTGAACATGAAAATATAGCTGATGCAGTCTTTCTCGATTTACCAGCACCATGGAATGCTATAGAACATGTGATGAAAGTTCTGAAAAAAACTGGTATAAAAAAATATTTCTTGTTTTCTTTATTTTTCTTTGTTTTTGTGGGACTTCTTAGGTGGTCGTCTATGTACATTTTCACCATGTATTGAACAAGTTCAACGTACTTGTCAGCGATTACGTATGAACGGTTTTGAAGAAATTAATACAGTTGAATGCTTACGTCGTATACATGAATTTCGTTATCAACATCGAAGTAAAATTCGTTTTACTGCTGATCAAAATCAAGAAGAAATAATCTATACAAAATCAAATAAAAGAGAACCAGATGATAATGAGGATGATGATAATCAAGATACAACGACAAATAAAAGATTTAAAAATGGTTCAGAGACAACACCTAAACGGCAACCACGAGAAACAGAATCAACGTTGACTGCTATTGGCCCATTAGTAATGCCTGGTCATACAGGCTATTTGACTTTTGCTTATCTCATACAAGAATAATTGTGAATGTGTTTTTTCTTTTGATAACAATTAAGAAAAGAAAATGTTCTGTTTGATATATACGTATATATACTTTCTATTTATATAATTTCAGTGTTGTTGTAATTGTATCACAAATTATTGAAAGTAATCAAAAGAAAAAAGCTGTTAGCACAATCCCTACGAAATTAAAATATGACACACAATGTAGTTTTCTTGCTAATCTTAGAAAGATTATTTTATTCTACCTATTTTGGGGCGCACTTCTCCATTATTTTTTCCTTAATCCTGCAGAAACGCAATATGAAAGTAGCTCATATATTAGCATGATTTATGGAGAAGAAAGCGTGCAAATTTCTACCCTTTATATTTCAACATTCCTTTGCGATCATATTTCATAAAAAAACCGCTTTAGTTATATGGAAAATATCATCCAGTAATATGTATTAATAGTATTGAATGATTATCTATCATAGATAATTATTCAACGGTTGAAATATACTATATATACGTTTGATAAGATTCATAGTCTATTGTTCTATTTCTAAAAATTACAACGAGAACTTGTGAATATATTTTAGTTTGTGCTAATAGATAACGTGAACTAACTTAAGTTCTTAGAATATATTTCACATTACACGAAATGAGAATATTTGTGGTATGTATGTTCTTAAGAATGTATAACTACACACTGG